TATGTCACTTATTCCTCTTTAAATCTTAGGATGATTTTGTGTCTTTTGTCAAATTGCTTAATTTAAATATTGTTAAGTTACAACTATAACAAAGAAAATGGTGGAGGTCCATGGCTAGACAGTTAATGAAGAGAAAAACCGCAGGCTCCCTTGGTGTGAGCTATACTTAATTCCCACTTTCTCTTGTCATTAGCCTGCTTTTTTTTAGTGTTCTTGCTGGGGTTGAACCAAAGGCTGTCTTGCTAGGCAGGATTTCCATCATGCTGAGAGAGACCACAAGGTTGATACAATGTCTACACTCAGTTCTTCTCGCTGTCTGTATTCTCCACCTGTCTCTCCTCTTCTGTTATTACTTAGGGCCAGACTCTTCGTACAGGAAGTAGTCTAAATCTGTAGGCATCTAAGTAAACTTTTGGCATGCTTTTAAGGCTGCTGGCCAGGTTGACCCGTTGGGGTCAGAGACAGGTAGGCAGGTGCTAGAACCCAGGTACCTCCCCTGCTTTTCCCTGCATTGGCTACTGCAGCGGTTCCCAATCTTCAGGTCACAACAATAAAAAACAGGGTCGTGTATTCCCAGGGAGGGAGGCATGGGGAGAGAGACGTGCCCTCCAGATTTGTGTGCGAGATGGCAGATGCAGGCTGCCCACCCGCCAAGGCCTCCACAGTAAAGCGGGATGGGGAGGCTCTGTGCTGCTGCTGGGAGCCCCCGCTGGTTATGCTGCCATGGCAAGGTGCCCCCTGCCCGCCTGGCAGCAGCGGGGGACACAACTCCATGCTGCTGCCAGGTGGGCAGGGGGCACCTTCGTCATGGCAGCTTGGCCAGCGTGGGGCCCTGGCAGCAACGCCAAGCCTTCCCACCCCCTCCTGTGCCAAGTCCCACCTGCTGGGCCACAGGGGCCCTGAGAGGAGGGCAGCAGGGCGGGGAGCCCTGAGCCCACCGCCTCCCCACCACCACGGGCTCCACTCTGGCCCTGCTGCCCATGGGGAAAGTGGCAGGGGATGGAGCAAGGCTCTGGCCAGCTGGGGCTCAGGTGCTGCTGGGTGGTGGGCAGGGGGCTGTAGACCCTGGCCCTGGTCCTACAGCCCTGGCAGCTGCCCCCCACCCGGAGGCTTCAGGTCATGAGTGAGGGGCACCAGCAGGGCTGGTGGAGTGGGGGGCTGTAGGTGGGGAGTGAAGGGCACCTGGTGGGGTAGGGGGCTGCGGGTTGGGAGTGAGGAGCCATGCTGAGGAAATGGGGTCACGCTGAGGAAACGTTTGGGAAGCACTGGCCTACTGCCAAAGCCCTGTGTCCAGGGTCTGGATCAAACGAGTCCACGGCCCAGATCCGATCTGCAGGCCCTGATCTAAGTTAGGCAAGGTTCTTTGGATATCTTTTATTAGACCACATCTACCCTGTGGCCTTTTTTGTCCCCTGTTTTTCTTCGTCCTCCCCTGCTTTACCTTTTTTGGTTTTTTTCATTTCTGCCCTTTTATATTTTCACTCACACCCTGTCACTT